AAAAAAAAAAAAAAAAAAAAAAAAAGACTAGATATAACAATGTCTGGCACAAAATAAGCGATCATTCACTCGCATTATTATTTTTTTCCTCATTTCCCCTTCTAAGCCTCAATCCTCCTCTTTATTTGTTTTGAGATGGCATCTCTCTCTGTCGCCCAGGCTGGAGTGCAGTGGCTCGATCTTGGCTCACTGCAACCTCTGCCTCCCAGGTTCAAGCGATTCTCCTGCCTCAACCTCCTGAGTAGCTGGGATTACAGGTGCCTGCCACCACACCAGGCTAATTTTTGTATTTTCAGTAGAGATGGGGTTTCACCATGTTGGCCAGGCTGGTCTGGAACTCCTGAGTTCACAGGTGATCCACCTGCCTTGGCTTCCCAAAGTGCTGGGATTATAGCCATGAGCTACCATGGCTGGTCTCAATCCTCTTTTTTAAAATGCAAGAGTAAATGGACTCCTTTGGAGGACTACGGTGAGGACTAAAGGAATAACTATTTCATTCTGTTCTGGCTGTGTGCCATGGCTCATGCCTGTAATCCCAGCACTTTGGGAGGCTGAGATGGGCGGATCACAAGGACAGGGGTTCAAGACCAGCCTGGCCAACATAATGAAACCCTGTCTCTACTGAAAATGCAAAAAGTAGCTGGGCATGGTAGTGGGTGCTTGTAATCCCAGCTACTTGGAGGCTGAGGCAGGAGAATCATGTGAATCTGGGAGTCGGGGCTTGCAGTGAGCCGAGACCATGCCACCGCACTCCAGCCTGGGCAACAGAGTGAGACTCCGTCTCAAAAAAAAAAAAAAAAAAAGTCACAGCTAACACCTCCTTTGCATGAGGTACTATCTAACCTTTGCCTATAATCCCTGCTCCTGGGGAGGCTGAGATAGGAGGATCGCTTGAGCCCAGGATTTCTGGTCCAGTCTGGACAACCGAGCAAGACCCTGTCTCTTAAAAACATACTTTTGCAACAACTCTGAAGGGAGATATTGCTGCCACGCCCATTTTACTGATGTTGAAACTGAGGTACAGAGAAGTGCAATGATTGGCTCAAGAGCTCAGGGCCAGTTAGGATTTGGAGCAGTTGGAGGTTAGAGGTGAGGAGGTTCCAGGCCTGGCAGCGAGGGCATCTAGGTGGGACTGACCCTGCCCTCCATTCCCCCTCCCTCCAGGAAGCTGGATGCCTTCATCTACGACGCTGCGGTGCTCAACTACATGGCCCGCAAGGATGAGGGCTGCAAGCTTGTCACCATCGGCTCCGGCAAGGTCTTCGCCACGACAGGCTATGGCATCGCCCTGCACAAGGGCTCCCGCTGGAAGCGGCCCATCGACCTGGCGCTGCTGCAGTTCCTGGGGGATGGTGCGGCTGCGCGCAGGGATTTCCACAGCGGAGAGGGGGAGGGCGAGGCCCCTGGGTTCTGGGGAAGAAAGGGACAAAGGCCCGGACACCAGGGTCTGAGGGAGGAAGGGGCTGAGGGCCTACACTCCCACATCACAGACGAGGGTCCTCAGAGGGTACTCATAGCAGGTGACTTTTGACCGCCCCTCCCCAGATGAGATCGAGATGCTGGAGCGGCTGTGGCTCTCCGGGATCTGCCACAATGACAAAATCGAGGTGATGAGCAGCAAGCTGGACATCGACAACATGGCGGGCGTCTTCTACATGCTCCTGGTGGCCATGGGCCTGTCCCTGCTGGTCTTCGCCTGGGAGCACCTGGTGTACTGGCGCCTGCGGCATTGCCTGGGGCCCACCCACCGCATGGATTTCCTGCTGGCCTTCTCCAGGGTACGGGGCAGAGAGGGAGGCAAAGAAGGGGAGATGGCGGGGGCAGGGGACAAAAGTAAAGCCGGGCAGTGACTTGGAGATGTGGGTCGAGATGTGGATAGTGGGGAAGAGAGCGGGAGACGCAGGCTGGGAAATGGAGAGGAGGGAGGGACTGAGGGGAGGCAGGTAGGCCTCCTGGGCACCCCGCGCTGACCCCCATCCTGTCCCCGAACCCGCAGGGCATGTACAGCTGCTGCAGCGCCGAGGCCGCCCC